CACAGAAAGAAAAAATAAACTATTTTGGTTTTGCATTTCACCTCTGCTCTGCCAGCTGCAGCTGACCTTCAGCTGAATGTACTCGTCCTCTTAGAGCCGACATCTGGGCCAGGTTTGAATTCAAGGCCTCGAGCTCTGACAAGAGCTATTAAAAAGCACATTTTAATTAGCACCACTATGTTTTTGACTTAAAACTGGCCTAAAACTGACCTCACAATTTAATTTAAAATACTTGATACATTTAACTTGTGCATTACATTTATTATACTATATAAAACATTATTGATGAAGCATAAAATGATTTAAACCTTTAGTGTTTGATCAGTCTGTCCTTTGTTAAGAAATGAATATCCTTTATAGACTAATAGCAGAGGGTCTTTCTCAGCTTCTGGAATCTAAAAGACCAAAAAAAAAGAAGAAGAAACAGGAAATATAAAAGGTAATTAAAAACTTTCATTTCTTTCACATTTATATTTAGCTACAAGGTAGATCAGCATAAATATTTTTGTTTACATCAAAATTATATACTGGTATATTTAATTCAAAATCAACATTTAACTGCAATATTATTTTAAGTGCTTTTTTATTAATTCAGTTTATAATGAAGACACACACACTTATTTTGTTGTGAGTCAGGTGAGTTTCGTGTCTAAAAATGACTCCGCTGAGATGGACTTTGCAAAAATGGATGTGATTTTAAAGAAAAAGACCCATAATTTATTTGTTCAAGATACAAATTTAAATGTATTTTACCTATAACGTGCTTTAAAAAAAGCTCATTTATTACATTACCTGTGAAAATGTCTTCATAGCCTCATCCGCTGCCTTCTCTCCTCCGCTTTTCACCAAGGCCTCCATCTTCAGTCGAAGCAGTTTGTCTTTCAGCTTTATGTCTTCAGACGTACATACATCCAAGCCTAACACAATTAAATGTTTTAGAGTCTAGAACTGTCTGTATCCTGATATTAACAAGTACAAAAAAAACATCTTCCTTCCTGCATAATCACACTCCTATTTTATGTCTAGAGTATTTAATAACCTGTAACCCAGTAATCACACCTTGTGAGCAGGATGCAGCACTGTCAGAGTATTTGTGTATTTTAATCTGAGCCTCGGCCAGATTGTACCACCCTGTTGATGTGCTCCTTTTCTTTAGTCCTAAAAAAAAATTCCGTACAGACAGATTAACAACAAGCAGCAGCAATGAGTGATAACATTAAGCCTGCATAAACAGCAGAATGGATTAATTGTTATTGTGGACACTAGCCTTGCTCCAGGTCGGCAATGGCTTCTTTGTACCTCCCTTCCAGAAGGGCTTTGGTTCCCAAACCCAAGCGACCAAGTCCACTGTTGGGAGCCAGTTCCAAGAGTCGGGAAAAACTACTTACTGCATCTTCATCCATATTATCTTTAAAGGAAAACATTCAATTTAATAAAAGTTACTGTGTCTTGCATCAACATGCAACCTGTGTATATAGGCTTCTACTCAAAATTCAGTATTCAATATGTTGATGCCCACAGTATGCCACGATTAAAATAAACAAATAAGAATTAGTTTGTGTTAGTGGTCTTTTCCAGACAGGGTGGGCTAGAAACAGAAACGTTATACACCTGACACTGAATAAAATTGTTAGAAGACACAAAGAGAAAGTCCCAGATCAATGTAAAATGTGCTTGTACTGAAACTGATTCTGCAAAATTATGCTTGATAGCACTACATGTCTCATAACCTTGTTTTTACTTAATGGTTGTTTGGATGTCATGTTTGCATTGTTGTACAATATTTGGTTGATTGTTTTAATGCTCAAGTAGCATAAGAAAGACATGTTTTTTGAGTCAGGTGACCCTGTTTATAGTGAGTTTTGCTACGCTGTGTGAAGTCATGAGTGTGGGGAAAAACAAATTCAAAAGGTAGCGCATGCTTGTTTGAAAGAAGTACTTCAAGTTCGCAGAAACATTGTTTGGGTTTTTAAATCTAACTTCTTCTTTGAAATTTAACTTCTTACTTGTTTTGAGGTAGTGATGGCAAAGAACCTCAAGAGGATAAGTTTGGTTTGGGTAGAGTGTCAGCATTGACTGGCATGCCTCTTTCATTTTGGCCTCTTCGTGTGGAAGCTGCAGTAAGAGCACAGCCATAACAAACCAAACATTTATCAAAAAACTTTCTAAAAGAACACAACAAGTAAAGAGGTGGTCTGTTTTGTTGACTGTGGCCAAGGAAGACCCTTGAACTTATAGGATAATGTGATTGGCAGTGAAGATGCACTTACTTTAGAAAGATATTTTACATAATCCGTTGAAAGCTTCTTGTGCTCCTCTCCAGGTATAGGGTCGGTGAGAGTCAGGGCTTTCTCAAAAGCTGTGATTAACTGATGACCACAACAGAAATCAAACATACGTGCTCATTGTCAGCAGGGGAAAAAAATCCACAAAATACCGGTAATTAAATTTAGTTACAATTTCTGACTTTTACAGTATACGATTAGAAATTATGGATTCATATGTATTGGACTTAAAAGAAACATCTAATATTGACAGGTTTAACAACACTTTTGAGGAAATCTTACATGCTGTTGAGTTTCATTGTCCTGCTCCTCCCCATTTATGAACTCGGAAAGAAGCTCCATCATCTTTTGTAACAGTTGCACCAACTCTTTCCTATCCACGCCCTCGTCCTCCTTCAGCTGAACGAGCTGCAGCCAAACCTTTGCTAACTGTCCACAAACACATGCAAACAATAAAACATGTGAAAAGGTACTTTAAAATGGATATATATATATTTTTTTAAATATTGCATGTTTATATTGAAAGCTTGCAAACCTTTAAATATTCCCTGTCAGACTGATAAATATCTGACAGCTTTTTCATCACTTCATAACATTTGTTTTTATCAGATCTGTGAAAGAAAAACATACTGAAAATCTATACCACAGCAAATTACTGACAATGAAAACAGCTTAAATTAAAATAAATGCTTTCATAAGTTTTAGAGCAATCACAGAAAATTGTAGAGTTGGTGTAGAGTTTAACGTGACTTGATAAAATTGATCTTACCTTGCATACAGCTCAACAAGTTTTTGATAGGTGTTAGGCAGCTCATCTTTGAAATCCCACTGATCAGTCTTTTCATAAAGGTTTGCTAAGCCCTACAAAAAATGTAAATTACTGATGAGAAGCAAGTTGTAAACATAGAAGATACTCAATAACAATTATTCAGAGTATTATGACAATTAGTTACATTTACCTTTACTTGTAATCTCGTTAAGACATAGAGTTTCGCTCTCAATAAAACTGATTTAAGCAGAAAACATTCAGGATATCGTACAAGACCAGAATCATACCTGCCAGGCCAGCAGCTGCTCCGGCTCCAGCTCCACTGCTTTTTTATAGGCTGCCTGGGACTGATCTGGTTGTTCCAGCTCACTGGCTGCCAGACCGATGAAAACCCATGCATTGTAATTGTTCTTTTCAAGTTTCAAAACAGTCTGAAATTACAATATAAAAAAGTGCTAAATGAGTCACAAAGAATTCTTTCCAGTAAACAAACAAATATCAGCTTCATTCCTTAGACTCCTTACCTTGCAGTGCTTCAAAGCCTCCTTGAATTCCTTGTTTTTGATGGCCTCCTTGGCACTTTTCAGTGCGGCTTTCACTTCTTTATTAGACATCTTTTTGACGGGACAAAAAAAAAATCCATTAATTTAAATAAGTAATGTGACACTGGAGTGGCTACATTGTCTATTCCCATACAAATGATAGTTTATGTGAATAAAGTCTGGCCTTGCGTAAGCAGACTTTCTAAATTACAAGTTATTTTTAATTTTTGTTAAACAAAGTCCCACCAAGTCATTTATCGATCTTAAAAAGTAAAAGTGACGCATCTGAATCGTTTTGGTCACTGACTTACGGAGGTCCACTTGCTAACTACAAAACAAATAGCATTAGGCTAGCGATTATAGCCAGAATCAGTATCTAATAATATCTAGTACAAACCTTTATTTTTTTTATAAAACATACAATTTGTTCAACAGCGCCGAGAAAGCTCTAATTACGGCAAGTTGAAACATATGTATGTAAAAGTGCGAATAACTTACTGTTTGTTACATTAGTTTGCACTGTGCATCCCGGAAGAAACGGAAGTAATCAGTGGAAGGCGACTTTTCAAAATAAAACTTCCGGTCCCCGAAACGAAAGATATAATCAGCTGTGAATTATATGAAACAAAATCTTTGTCAGCTTTACAGAATAGAATAGAACATAATATAATAGAATAGAATATTTAATAGATTATAATATATATAATTATAATATAAAACCCACCATATTTCTTTCTTTATTTATTCAATTGAACAGCTAACTATGAAAAGACCCAGAGTTTAGGGCTGTGCTATGCATACACAAACAGGCCAATTCCTTTTTTTAAGCATTGTTTGACTAAACATAAAGCTGTGTGATAGAGATTCACTGTATGTATGTGAAATACACTGGAATACAAGTGAGAATAGGTTTTCTACTTCATGTGAATCCATGAAGATTTATATTAAGAAAAGAACCAATGAACAGAAGAAAAAAGTCAACTTTAAGAAAGCATTACAATTTGAGTAGTATGTAATGTATTACATCTCAAGCTTTTTTAAAAAGTGATAAAGCAAAAAAAAAAAAAAAAGATAAAATCAGTTTTATTTTGTTATAAATGCCCCAGTGAAAATGTCTGTTTCCTCTAAAAAAAAAAGTTAACCTGGTATTGATGCAATATATATGAATAGTAAAAAGTACTTAATTGAAAAGAGAAGTACTATTTACAAAATAAACAGGTTGTATTCATAAAGAATTCTTTTTACTCAGAACTACAATTCATATTCACCCATTCATTCACACACACACACACACACACACACACACACACACACACAC